TCTCTTTTATCCAACCCACCCCCGGGCCACTGGCTGACCCTATAGATTCATCAATCCTGGATTTCATATACTGAAAAACATGTAACAAAAATTCAAGAGGGTTACCCCCAATGAAAAAATACATCTGAGATAAGCTCCAAGATGAACAAAACAAAAACCAGAAAAATGTTAAAAACCATATCAGGCCCAATGTGCATCAGAGGGGAGAAAAACTGACAAGGTTTTAACCCTTCAAGTCAGGTTTATCATTTTGGTCTCCTAGAGTCAGCTCTCCAGTACACGCTGTTTGGTAACCAGCTTCTTCCCTCCCTCTATTATGGACACAGAGAAATCACCAGAGGCTTTTTCCTATGGAGATCTCACAAATGTACTTTGGGCTGCCACTGTCACCCATAGGCTTCTGCAAACCAGAATCTCACAATTTAGGCTCTGATACAATTCCCTCCTCTGGCTCTGGATTACAGTATATGATTTACAATCCTTCAGTCACTGATGCTGGTGTATTTCTTTCCTGGGGACTTAATTGATATCATATAGATGGCTGCTTGTTTGGAAACAAACCTTTAAAACCCAAGATGCTACTTTATCTGATAGCTGGGCACCATCTAATTTCTTCACAGTTTGCTATAGCACCCATGTCTTCTGTGTTCTTTCCTGAAGGTGAATGTCAAGCAGGGCCACGATGTAAGAACTAACTGTTCTTAAATTGGAGCTAGGATTTAGTGCAAGCCCAAACACCATTCCTAGATCTATGCTTTTTTTTAAATCTGCCTTTGGTTCCCTTTAGAGACTTTCTAGTTAATTTATAGTAGAGCATCTTATCGATCATCTCCCTGGGGCATAACATAAACTTGATTAGCCCCTGGGAGACTGGAAGTCTTCAGGGCTGTAGAAAGCCCTGTCTTTCTCCTGTGGAGCAGGTGGTGGTTTCAAACTACTAACCTTCCAGTTCGCAGCCCAACACGTAAGCCATACATAATACACGTTTTCTAGTCTTGGCCTTCGAGGAGTTCGCAATGTTTTGCATTGTCATCGTGCTTTATACTTTTCGAATGCATTTTGATATGCACCACAGCTCATTAAGAATCCACTAGGGAAAGGGCAGGGCAATTCTTCCCCTGGCTTTGATGTTAAAGAGCATCACCTGGGGGATACGCTGGATGCGTGTGAAGCCTTTGTGAGGATCAGACACTGTTCTGGGTTCGAGGAATCGATCAGGGCAGAAAAACACAAGTGGGTCCATCTTTCGGGGGCTTACAGTCTAGTGAGGATGGCAAATGGCCAATTCGGACGAAACCTAGGAGAATATGGCGAAGGGAAGGAAACAGAAGAAGGCAATCAGACGAGCGGAGGGAGGTGACCCCATGCTGGGCAGCTGGCCTAGAAGAGGAAGCCCCTGCTGAGCCGAGACTGTGGGAACGCACTTCCGGCGGAGGGACCCACCCGGTCCCGAGATCCCGCGGTCGCGTCCAGGGAAAGCTAAGAGGAGGCAGGGCCTGCGCCCGATCCCGGTACCCCGTCCCCACTTACGGAGCGGCCGCCGCGGCGTCCTACGTGCCTCCGCCCTCTCCCTCCCGCACGCCG